GTTTTTGTCCACCAGTGATCTATAACCACACTTAGCATTCTCACCGCAGGGCCATCTTTAGAGTAAGAGACGACCTTAGAAACTTCATTTCTGGAAGGCTAGGATTCAAGAGTTCATTTCAGAGAGGGGGACAGACTTGGCTGGGAACATGCAGCTATTGATAAAGTATTTGTCCTGACACACAGCTCAGAGGCTATGAAGTGCACCAGCCTTTCAAAAAAATCAAGATTTTTACCTTAATTTATAGACATATGAATGGCATTATAGGATGGAAGGGGTGTTTAATTGTCCCTTTCAGAGGCCTTATATGACAAAGTCAGGTTTGGGGATGATTTAAATCAATCTGCATCTCTCAGGAGGCTTAGAAGGCCACTGCCCATGCTTAGGGGCCTTGGGACCATCAGGGACATCATGGTGACTGGAAACAGCCACCTGACTGCACAGATGCTTGATCTCCCTCTGTGACAGCTGAAGGGTAGAAAACCGAGCTGACAGCTGACTGGTGACAACCAGAGCTCTCAGCATCAAAGCATCTCACTGGTAATAAGCTCCTGGCTTCTTCACAAGTCTCTCTGGAAAATCTGCTAGCTGCTGGTGTTAGAACCATGATAACAGGGACAGGGAGTGGCGGGAGGCTGACTCTGAGTGGCAGGAGTCTGGGGAATGAAGCATGGCCCCTGTAGGGGAATCAAGCAGAGGCAATTACTGCTATAGGCCATCCAGGCAAAAGGAGAGACACTAATACCCTCTCTGGGGAAAGTCAGAACGAACCTGGGCCAGCGTTTACAGGTAATAGTGCCAGAGTATACAAGCAAGGTAAACACAGGCTTACTAATTTGTAGTCAACAACTTCACATTTTTTTTTCACCACATCAAAATTCCCTTTCTAAGTATGGCTGTCATCCCTCTCCCACTTCCACAACACCTTCTACAGAATCAAAGCCTCTTTTCAAATTTATAGTCACTGACAGAGCCAAAGTACCCAGTAAGCAAGGTAAGCATGTGTGTACTTAATAATCTGTACTAAAGAGTTTCACAAGACTTTCACCACATTGTCAGTAGTGAACAGTTTCACATGTTTTTCACCACAGATGTGGTGGAACCCATGTGAAACTGTTCATTACAACTTAGAAAGTAAGCACAGATAAGCATGGTAAGCATGGCCTTATTTGTCACCCACCTTTGGCAACAGTCTTAAGAAGAACAAAAATACACATTGGTTTCTTAGGAGGGGAGACAAGGAAAGAAAGATGTTGTGAAAATACCTGGATTCCACACCAAATTACTTTATTAAACCAGTCCTTAATGAGGGCACTGCTGGGAGGTAGAATGTAGCAGTGATGGCCAGGTGGATACAACTTTTGCTAAGAGGCCACCCTGACCACCAAGACAGGATAAAGCAGCAAGCATAGATTACCCTTGCGCCTTCAGTTACTGAGGAATTTTTTAACTAATGAATTTGCAAACATTTGGCAGTTATTTTAAAGTTAGGAAGAATTAATAAGAAAGTGGTGTTTGGATGGTGTTACTTATCTTTAAAGCAAAAGTTACAAGAATTCATCTGTGAGCTATTAAACATCCTGGGCAATGTGAGGCATCTTATACATGGTAACTCTAAATGATGCAAAATGTGGGGATGTGTTTTAATGACCAGCTGAGACCAGAATACGGCCACTGCTAAGCATCTGGACCAGGCTAAAAAGCTGACAGTTTCACTGAAGGTAAATGTCAATTTTCTGAGTCTACGTGGGTTGGCACAGTGTGTAGGAAAGTTCCACAGAGCAAAAGTACTCCAGGACTCAAGAAGGATAGAAAAAGTTTAAAAAACAAATTTCCAAAGTCAGGTTAGTTAGCAAACTCCACATTGCATGTTCTCACTCATTTAGTCCTGCAGTCCTAGACACTGTAGTCCCCAGTCTACAGATAAGAAAACTGAGACTCAGAAAGGGTAAGTGCCTTGCCAAAGGAAAACATATAATAGGGCCCAGAATGCAGGCCTTGTGGTCTTCAAATGGTATTCCTTCTATACAATGCAAGAAAGTTTGTCCTAGATAAAAAAGGCATATGCTATGGCTTATTAAAAACAACAAACACATGAGAGTTTTCAAATTCAAATGAAAATAGTACATTCTGAAAGAGATCCTAGGCACAAATGGAACTGAATGAAGGCTGATGGCTATGCCATTATTTAAAAAGAGAATAAAAGAGGTCCATTTCATACATAAGGAGCTCTGGTAGCATAGTGGTTACGAGTTGTATTGATAATCTCAAGGTCAGCAATTCAAAACTACAAGCAGTTCTGCAGGAGAAAGATGAGACTTTTTGTAACCATAAAGATTTATAGCCTCAGAAACCCTATGGTAGGTTCACTATGAGTCAGAACCGACTCCACGGCACACTACCACCACCACCATTTCATACATATCTGCTAGGAATAGCCTATCATTTCCTGATATTTTTATAAATATCTATTAGGGGTCTAAGGAGCTCTGGTAGCATAGTGGTTATGAATTGGGCTGCCAGCCTCACGGTCAGCAGTTCGAAACTACCAGCTGTTTTGCAGGAGAAAGATGAGGCTTTCTGCTCCCGTAAAGATTTACAGCCTCAGAAACCGTATACAGGGTCGCTATGCATTAGAACCGACTCCACTGAACATAAGGGCAACAACAATCAATTAGGGGCCTACTGTATGTAAGATAAGGAGCACAGGGTTAAGCATAGGGTTGTTAACCACAAGATCAGCATTGAAATCCACCAGCCTCTCTGAAGGAGAAAGACTAGGCTGTCTGCTCCTGTAAAGATTTACTTTCTCAGAAACCCAGAGGAGCAGTTCTCCTCTGCTGTACTCTACTAGACATTTGTTGTGAGTCTGAATTGACTGCATGGAGGTGGGTTTGGGTTTTGGCTAGGTGTGTAGGATACTGAGGTAGGTGCACTTGGGAGAGAGAGAAAAGAAAGAAGGAGAGCTAAAAGATGTGCAAGTCCTAGTTCTGTTAGGGATCGGAGAGCTGAGCACAGGCAAGGTCTGTGTACATCGAACAAAGTCTGGAAAGAAATGTGACAAAAAGTAAACAGTATCTTCTCTAAGTGGTGGGATTTAGGGTAATTAAACATGTTCTTCTTTTTATAAGTTGTCTACTAAAAACAAGTATGTTTTCAATCTAAAAAGGTACTAAGGGATGAAGTTTACATCAGACCAAAACTCTGTTGCAGTTGAGTCCATTCTGACTCATAGCAACCCGTAAAACAGAATAGAACTGCTCCATAGGGTTTTTAGGGCAGTCATCTTTGCAGAGCAGTTGGTGGCTTTGAACTGCCAATCCATCAGTTAACAGTCAAGCACTTAACCACTGTGGCACCATGGCTCTCTAAGGCAACACAAGAGCAGATCTACAAGGAGTACTGATACCATCAAGGGAGGCAGGGGAGGAGTACTGGGGAGAGGGGAGCAGAGTGAGTGTGAGGGGACACAAGTACCTAAAACAAACAAAACCCCATTGCCATTGAGTCGATTCATAGTGACATATTCATAGTGACACTGTAGGACAGGATAGAACTGTTTCATATGGTTTCTGAGACTAAATCTTTATAGCAGCAGACAGCCTCATCTTTCTCCCTTGGAGCAGCTAGTGAGTTGAACTACTGACCTTGCAGCTAGTGGCCTTAATCCCTTGCACTTCCTCTGCTCCTTAGACACAAGCGCGCAGGCAACGCTAAAGGATGCAGGTCTGGAAAGGTGGGTGAGGTCTGATTTTGGAGGTCTCTGTGGGACAGAATGGGCTTTGAGTCTTGTTCAGGAACCCAGGGCCAGAAGAAGCTGGGGTAGGGGGTCTGTGAGGAATAAGGCTCCTGGGAGAGACAGGCAGAGGTGCCTGGGTCTGGAATATGATGATTGGAAAAGCTGCTCTGGGGGACTGGCAGGGTGGCAGCTGGGTGGTGACCTGTCTTGGTTGTCCTTGAGCTGTGGTCTCAGCAGTGGGCCTTGGAGGTGAGGGAAGGGAAGAACAGGAACCGTTGTTTGGAACAATGCCAGGGCGAGGTGTGTGCCTATGTTAGCAGATGGTGATGGAGGGTGGAGGCAGTGCAGCGGGGTGGGGGGATCAGGTTAGAATGCTGCATGTCCCCCAGAAGTAACATGCCCTGAGACACTTGTGTAGCATGAATGCATCAAACTACCTGCCTGAGGAGTATACTCAGTTCCATGAATTCCCTCCTTCGGTTCTGCAGACACTAGGCAGCCGTCCTTGGATTCCCCTCAGGAGGGAGCTCTTTGGTGTCCTCCAGGGCTGGCTCACCATTTTCTGAGAAAGCACAGGAAGCTGCAGGGATCATCTGTGCTCCTCTGGTACCTCCTTGAGGGCACCCAGAACTAGGGCCGACACCCCAAACACAAACGGTGTTCTCACCAGTCGGTACCCATTCTCCTGCTAGGTCACAACTGCCACCAGCCTCAGTGGCCTTGTCACTTGTCACTCCCAGAGCACCAAAGCCAGAGTCCAAAGGCTCTCAGAGAATCTGATTCTTGGTTATTCAATAGTCTTTTTAACAGCCACATCTTTTCATCCAGGAGACCTTTTGTTTCCCTGAGAGAGAGGGCCCATGCACTGGCCCCTGGGGCAGCCTTTTGCAGTCCCCTTGGCTTCACAGCCTTCCTCCTCCCATCCCCAGCTCTGCCTTTCTTCTAACCTTCAGCTGAGCAGAGATGGGAGAAGGCAGAAAAAAGGCCTTTTATAACGAAATTATCTCTGTGTATTCATCTGCCATTATGTTAATGCATCGTGAAGCTCGGCAGATGGTACAAAGTCAATTATGCTGGCGTTTGAGAGGGAGAAATTGACCTTTTCAGGACTCACTTGGATTCCAGAGCAGAGTTTGCAAACCTCAGTCTCAGGCCTGGCATGGAGGCAAAGGCAGACAGCACTGTGGAAGGGTTAAAGGATGGAGTAGGGGTTGTCAGCACCCCTGGGAAATGGCTACCTTTCCAGGGCCACCTTTCCTACCTGCACATTTTCTCAAAGAGCCCAGCATAGCCGTCACAGTTGGTTTTCTGGGTTCTCAGGATGTCAGTGGGCTTGAAGGCTTGGCGGTCCTTCTCCTGGGCAGCCACGATGTCATATTCTGGAGGGCAAAGGAGGGATCTGTGAGGAACTGGGCCCAGGGCATGTAGCCCAGATTGCGGCAGAGGAGAGAGGGGGATCCACTTCTCATGATGCTGCTGCACCCACTCAGTGTGCTGTGGGCATCAGTTGGACTCACCTTCCTCAGTCCTGCAGAAACTATGATGGGCTGAGTGGAAGCATAGGATTCTGGGAGTGTCACCTATCTGAGCAGGTGGTAAGTGAAAGAATAAGGCCTACAAAGAGGTGGTCACTTTTCCGCAGGCCTCTGAAGAGGTGCTGAGGGAAACAGTGTCAGATTATCCAATAAGCAAGGTAAGCACAGGCTTACTTGTGCTTATTTACTAATCTGTGATACACAACACACGTTTTCTATTACATCAAAGATTCAGCTTCTAGGTGTCTGGCATCTATCACTTTCCCAAGCCCACAACACCTTCTACAGACTCAGTCTCTTTTCAAATTTACAATCCCTGAAAGGGAGGGTATGCAATAAGCAAGGTAAATGCAGATTACTTGTGTTTACTTGCTAATCTGTATTGAACAATTTCACATAGGTTTCACCCATTGTGAGAGTTATGGTGAGGTCCTGAGGCAGGAGTCACTGTGGCCACTGAGGACAAAAAGGGGTAGGGGGAGAGACAGAGTGAGGTGGGAGGAGGTGGTCTGTCAGGCTTTTCTACTGTCAGACCTTATACCTGTGCCAGGTGAGCATATCCTCTAAACTGCCAGCTCAAGCACAGGTAGCAATAGGTAGGCAGCCCTGTTGGTCTTTATGTCTCTTGCTGTTGTTAAGTGCCATCAATCTGGTTCTGATTCATAGCGACCCTGTATAGGGTTTCTGAGGAGCAGCTAGTGAGTTTGAACTACTGATCTTGAGGTGCAGACCGACCTTGTGGTCTAGTGCATTATCTTGCAGTGCCATACCAGGATTCAGGTCTCATGGTAAATATTAGAAATTTGCCCCTTGGCCTGGCTCTTTGACTCATATGGGTTTGCAAGACTCTCCAAGGACCAGCATCCTCTTAGCAACCTCCTCTGGGGCTGGGCTTCACCCAGTGAGACTCCCTGTGTGCTGTGGAGAGCTGTGGGCAGCCACACAGGTTCATGTCTCCTGAGTGGCTCTGAGACCCTGGAGCCTGGGCTGGGGACAGCAGTTGAGATGGCTAGTATGGGAACAAAGAGTGGGGAGAGGCAAGCCCAACGTTCCTGGTACAGGTGCTTTATGAAACCTCTAGTGTTATAACAACTTTTCAAAGACTATGGCTCCTCCCCAACAAATGGTTGTCCTCCTTGGAGGTGATCTTCCACCCTGGATCCCCATCTCTGTTGAACAGGCTTACCAGCAGTTCAGGAGTGAAGGAAGGACCCAGCTCTGGCTGCTGGTTGTGAGCTGGGGGGCCTCCCCCACCTATAAGTGAATTCCCCCCATCCCCCCGCTATGGATATTGTTGGCCCATGGTTGCCATCCTTGCTTAGTCTCTGGTCAATCATCCTCGCTATCTGGGAGCCTCTCTCCCCATTCTCCTTTATCCACATATACGGGTGGTCACGTCCCAGAGACCCTTCCCTGGGAACAAGGTCCTGAGGAAGTGGCATCAAGGGGTTCTAGAGCCAGTGGTGCCACAGGTGGGCTTACCTATGTGGTGGCAGATCCAGATCCAGATGGCACGGACCCTCTCCAGGTCACTCTGAGTCTCCTGGACCAGGTCACTCACCAGTTCATCCAGGCCACTCTTGACGGTCACCTGGGGAGAGGGAGTGGTGGGCTGTGTAAGTGACTGAAGGAGGGCTGTGGGAGAGACCGGCACCTGCCACCTGTTGCCAGAGACATTCTCTCTCCAGGAAGAGAAGGAGGGGAGGCCGAGAGGGACAAACCAGGGCTGGACAAGGTGGGTAAAGCTGACCAGCTGAATCCCTGGTCCTAGAACACCACATGTTTTCTCAGTAGATCCTGGGGCCAGCCATGAGGGCATCCAGCTGCAGCAGTCTGGTCAAGAACAATCTAGCTTTTCTCGAAGAGTCTCTCAGCATAAAATGGGTGGAGGTGCTGGAAAGACAGCTCTGACCTTTTTCAGTCTTTCTAGAGTAGTGAGTGCTTAATTCCTACCACTGGTATCCAGGTCCCACATCAGTACCCAACCTCTAGGGCACTCCCTTGCCACCTGGAACTATTCACATCTGAACTCCAAGATCCCCGCTTTGACCACTGTCCACCTCAATGAGGCCTTTGGGTCTTTCTTTCTTCTAATTTCACAGCATCTCTTCTTCATTTTCTTCTCTATGTCTTCAGATTCTATGGTTCCTGTCTTTGCCTTTCTCCCAAGACCCAGAACAGTACCAGACACATTGCAGGCCCACACTATTGCCTGGCTGGTTTCTGACATAGCCCTAAACTTCTGTTCTGTGGCTTCTGGTCCTTTGGTCCCAACTTGGTTCCTCCTGGGCTTGCTTGCTCTGTGATTGGGCCTCTCGTCTTAGCTGGGCTCTTAGAAGTACGCTCTTAAACCTGGACTACAGACTATCCTATTAGTTTGGGCAGCTGTTACAAAGTACCCTACCCTCCTCAGGCTCTGGACACCTCCTTCCTTCACTTAGCAGATGCCCTGGTCTTGGACTTCCAGGAGACCCAGGCAGAAATGATGAACCCCACATCCTACCTGTCTTTCCTGTTGCTCTTGCTCCGGCCTTTCCAGAACCTGCTCTTAGTCAATCAATTGCCCACCTCTCCTGCATTTTTACCTCCTCCTTTCCTTTCCAGCTGCTGCATCCCTCCATCTCGCCTAGTCTTTTCTAGATACCATCCATGTCTAGCATCTCCTTCTTTGCCAGGCTCCTGTGAGGCTTCTGTCCACTCACTGGCTCTACTCTTTCACCTCCTCTTTGCTCCTTAGCCCTCTGGAGTCCAACTGAGATCTGCAACCTTCCTCTGAGTGGCACCTCTGGAAATAAGAAGAGCTTCAGTGCCCAAACAGCAGAGATGAGTCTGTCTTCATCTAGCTTGATCAGCCAGCACACGTCATGCATGTTTGACCCTGGGAACTCCCTCCTCAGACCTTTCAGAACATGGATCTTTTTGGGCCTTACTCCAGCTTCTCTGTTGACTTCAGGCCCTTCAGACTCCCTCCCCACCCAGCTCTTTCCCCTTACACTGACACCCGCCCTATGGCTTTAGTTCTTAGCTAAATCTGATTACTCCTAAATCCATGTTTCCAGCTGAGACCTGTCCACCAGATCCAGACTCATCTATCCAGCTACCAGGCGGTCATAGCCACTGGATGTGCAATTTGTATGCCCAGAACCCATTGTCCTCCAAACTAACTCCTCAGCCCCCAAACTTGCTCCTTATTCTTTGTTCCTCATCATGAGGGATTACCCTTTCTAGCAGACTCTTGGTGGTATGCTTCTGTTTAGTCCCATGCATGCCTTAGTGCTTCTGCCCTTGTAGCTACCCCCTCCTCACACACAGACATGTCCAGGCCCTGAGGTGTGAGAGTCTGGCAAACCATACCCTCTGAAGCAAGTGTGGCTATGGTCACAGTGGCTGCCAGCCCTCTGCATCCATGCTTCTCCTCTATTCTCTTCCTCCTGTCCTCCATAAGCCGGAGGCTGGCATGGTCCAGCATTCTCAATGGGCCTAGGGAGGGGAGGGCAGGACTGGTCCGAAGGGCTGCTGGAGGGTGTGTCATCTGGGAGTATGGTGGGGCAGGGTGCTAGGATGAACTTTGGTGCTGGACAGGGGCCTGCTGACCTGGGCACTCTCTATGCCATCCCCCTGCTGTGGAAAGGCATTCTCAGGGCATTTAACAAAGTGACTCAGGATACATTCAGGAGAGACCTGGGGAGAGGCTTTGCTGTCCAGGTCAGGGAATTCCAGTTGACCTTGAGGGGTTGGAGGATGGGCTCAGGGCCAGTAGGACTAGGCTTTCCTACCTGTGAGGCATAGGTGTCCAGCTTCTCTAACCGCGGCAGGTCCAGGGGCATGGACTTTAGGCTGGACCGGTCCCAGGGGTAGGCTGGAGCACAGAGAGGTCTTGGTCAGCTGCTAAGACCCATGGAAGAGTCTACCTGTTCCAGGCTTTACTGTTCCTTTGAAGAGCTGTGACTGACCAGTCTTTAACAGTGATTCCCAAAGCCTGACTCCTGGACCACTAGTGCCAGGGACTATATCTACTGCAGGAGTTTCTTGGTCAAATTAATTTGGAAAATATGGTATCTCCCGGTGTGGCACTGTAGGATAAACACTTGACTGCAAGGTCAGTTTGAACTGCAAGGGCGGTGACTCAAACTCGCTTGCTTCTCCTCAGAAACTCTATATAGGATTGCTATGCATTGGAACCAACTCTACAGCACTTAACAACAACAACAAATAGTTCTCTTGGAAATTCACAGGCAACACAAACCTATTTGCAGACTCTGGGAAGCCAGCACTAAAGAAATTGGTTGAACATAACAACATCCATTAACTCAGCAGTCCCCAGACATATTTGGTGGTAGAATCTCCTTCTTCCTCACCATTCAGTGTCCTGAAGATTCCCTGATCACAGGCTCTGTGGGAAATGTTTGGGCAGTGCTGCTGGCTATATTGAGCTCAAGAAGGAAGGGTCTATACCATGGACCATGGTACCTAAGGGTGGAGGTGCTACAGAGCACCCTGGGTGTTCACAAAGGGTTTGGTAAGGCTGGGATGTCTCATGCAAGATGAGGTGTCTTTGACCTCCACCCTTGCCCATGTTTAGCTGGAGACTGGGCACCCCAAGAAAGCCAACTGTAGGTGAGGGTGTTCTGGCAACAATCCCCTCAAGTGCTGTGAGAAGGTTCTTGAGAGAAGGTGAGTTCCCTAAGTACTCAGGTATGTCCAGTGTTTTTGTGTAGGAAGCTTGCTGTCCAGAGCCTGGGCCTTGAGTTTCAGGTTGCTGGAACAGAGATCCAGGGAGGAAACAACACTCACGACTGTGTCTGGTACTGTACCAGGCCAGCGGCCTCCCACCTTCCCCACTGGACACCAGAACCCTATTCAGCAACTGTCGGGGCTTGCTGCAGGGTTGACTGACCAATGGTCAGAACAACAGACAGATGGACAGCAAACCTCTCAAATGTTGTTAGGTGCCATCAAGTCAGTACTGACTCATAACGACCCTATGCACACACAACACAACGAAACACTGCCCCATCCTGGGCCAACCTCACAATTGTTGCCATGCTTGAGCCCATTGATGCTGCCACTTTGCCATTTCATCTCACTGGGGGTCTTCCTCTTTTTCTCTGACCCTCCACCTTACCAAACATGATATCCTTTTCCAGTGACTGGTCCCTCCTAACAATATGTCCGAAGTATGAGAGATGAAATCTGGCCCTCTTGGCCTCCAAGGAGCACTCTGGCTGTACTTCTTCCAACACAGATTTGTTTGTTCTTTTGGCAGCCCATGGCACTTTCAATATTCTCCAACACATAACTCAAAAGCATCAATTCTTCTACAATTGTCCTTATTCACTGTCAAACTTTCGCATGCATATGAGGTTATTGAAAATACCATGGCTTCGGTCAAGCACACCTTAGTCCTCAAGCTGACATTTTTGTCTTAAACACTTTAAAAAGATCTTGTGCAGCAGATTTACCTAATGCAATATGTCATTTGATTTCTTGACTGCTGCTTCCATGAGTGTTGATGGTTGATCCAATAAAAATGAAGTTTTTGAGAACTTCACTCTTTTCTCCGTTGATAAGAATATTGTTTATTGGTCCAGTGGTGAGAATTTTTTTGGAGGTGTTGTTCTCAAATCAGAGTACTCTTTTTTTTAAGTTTTTATTGTGGATTGAGTGAAAGTTTACAGGGCTGATCATCAGTTTTACATTCAACAAATCATACATCTTGTTTCATTACAATGATTACAATCCCTTCTATGTACCATCGGTTAACAGTATTTCTCTCTATTCACTTTAGCTCTTTTCTTTAAAACACTCAGGCATATATAATAATTTACACCACCAAAGGACACATCTGCAAGTCTGCTTCCTGGCCACTATCTCTTAGTTCCTTTCTTCCCATGAATCTAGTGTCCTCAGCTGATCCCCCTCTGTATGTCCCCATCTCTGCCTCCATCTCTGGTGTCGCTGCTTCTCTGGATAAGGTCCCACATTCCACTTGTGCTCTTCTCCCTTGATGGTCCTAGAGTCCTTTGTTTCTAGACTGTAAGATTAACTACCCCCCCCCTTTTTTTGTTACAAAACTTCTACCTTTACAGTTGTGACAGTCACAATTAGTCATGATAACAATTACTATTGAAGCATAAGAATCTTACCCCCATCAGTTTTAACCAGACCCATCTAGACAGGATTAAAACTATTAAATAGGAACTCTTTCTTTCCCCCACACACTCTTAAACTCACTGCCTCTTTAAACCTTGTTAGCCAGTCACTTCATGCCCTTATCGCCCCCTCATTCTAGATAGCCAATGTCTAAGTTGCCCAGCCCTATCTACCTTGTGTATAGAGGGGATAGCATTGATACTTGATGTGAAGAGTCCTTTCTTCTCTGTTGGTATTTAGAGTTACTACTTCCATGAGTATAGGTCAGGTTGATCAAATTGTAGCAATTTACCTTTTTTTTAAATCTTCCTTTAGTCAAGTTCTGATTATCAAGCCATTGAGGCTAAGTCAAATGAGTACTATCTATAAGTCTGGGTGTTCTTGTGCTTCTCCCCTCACTTCATAACAGCTGGACGCTTCACTCTCAGCTCTAGCCCTCTGTGGCTATGTCCTTGTTCTTGGCTCAGGTGTCCCCAGGTCTCACCACACTTTGGACAAACCAGCCCTTCCACTTCTCTGTCCCATCTCCAGGTCAATGGGAGTCAATGGACTGTGGTTGAACTCAGCCCATTTCTTCATTGTTGCCTTTCCCCACCTTCCACTCACCAGTAGACTAATGTGGTCACCAGCAAGCTTACATGGCTGTGTTCCCTTTGAGTTTGAGTCTTAGAGAAGGGTTTGTCCTGAAGGAAATTGATTGCTTGCCTTGATGGATTCCTGGCGAACAGCTTGCTTTATCTTGTAGTAGCCAGTCATGCTGACATTTTTGTTTTTCCTGATGATCTTTCATTGAAGATGTATCTTCTGTCGCTCTAGCTGTTTCAGGTTGGTCTGCTTGTCTTTTCTAGTGGGAATGTCCCACCTCAGAAGGTTCTGGATGGGACTCAGGAGTCCACCTAAGGTCCTACACTCTGCAAATGCTCCGCAAGAGGGCTATTTCGCTGGGCAAGCTCTAGAACCCTTTTTAGGTATTCAAATCAGTTATAGGCTGAAGATGGGCTTACAAGTTTTCTTTAATCACGTTTCCCAACATTGCTTTCTATCCTACTCAAGTGTCTTATTTTACAACAGTAGGAAAGGGAAACCAATATTCATAAGACAGTTAAGCATCTTAGTGTTACTTCTCCTTTCAAACTATACCTAGATCCCTGTATCACAGAGCCCTGTTGTTCCAAGTTTGAACATGCATCACTATTTACCTTTGTTCCACTTACCCCATACAAACCTGTCTCAGTGTTCCCCTATCTACCTTGTTCTTCCATCTCCTCCCCCTTCTTGTATTGCCCTCCCCAACACCCGAACTATAATGTGTCTGCCCTTACCCTGTGCTCAACTATTGTCTCCCTCCACCTCTACCTAAATCCCCCACCCGAACCCCACCATTGTGGTTACCTTATATTCCATTAACTTTTCTCTCCATTTAAGACAGTCTATTTTAACCTGTAATCTACCTGACCTTCTCACCACCTGAATTGCTGTTCCTACGTGTTTACCTTCTTTCACATTCTAATTATTTTGGTCACAAACTGACCTCCCAGTTCCTCTGAATTTGTTCTTATAGTTTTGTGCTGTTCTGGACTCTTCTATTTGTCACTTGAGTTCCAGGAGGTGATGCCATGTATGTCAATCTTTTGTTGTTGTCTGTTCTTGTTGGCTCTCAGTCCACAGAACTCCCTTTAGGAAGTTGTTCATCACTGGGTTGGCTTTGGCAAAATCCCTCATCCTGGAATGTTCTGATTATACCATCATCTTTGACTGACAGCTTTGCTGGGTAGAGGATTCTTGATTGGCAGATTCTTCATTGGCATTTTCTTTCTTTCAGGGTTTTATTATATATGTTTCCTCATTGCCTTCTTGCCTGCATGGTTTCTGCTGAGAGATCCAAGCTTAATCTGTTTTGCTTGCCTTTGTATGTTACACTTGTCTTTTCCCTAGCTGCTTTCAGTCCTTATCTTTGATTTTGGATTATTATATGTCTTGGTGATTTTATTTTAGGGTCTATCCTTGCTGGGTTTCATTGAGCTTTTTGAATGCTTATCTTTTAGCTTTTCAGGATATTAGGGGAATTTTCTGCCAGAAGCTTTTCAACTATCTCCTCTGTGGACCTGTGTACTTGTGTGATTCTTCCTGTTCCAGAAAGCTGATAATCTTTTTTTTGTGTGTGTGTGTTCACTTGCTTAGATATTTGAAATACAACTTTATTCTGGGAATAAAGGAATGGGAATGATAGTAAGAAACAAGATTTCACCACTGAATAGTGTGATGTGACCGTAGCAGTTGTATATTTGAAACTCAAAAAGGAAGCACTTATGTTCCAGCACCTAGGTATGTAGGTCCAAAAAATGAAGGTATTTTTAACTGCCACATTCACTCCGAAGGCCTTTCATCTCCTTCAACATCCCAAATATTAACACATGTTCTGCTTAGCTATATAATAAAGTGGCAAATACGTGACACCACTGACATCACAGGACAGTTGCCTATAAAACTAGACTTCTGACACTGGGCTCCAGCTTCGTTCTCTTACAGGTCATCATCCTTGTCCAGGAGAGCAGTTGTCTGTGCAACCTCTAAATCATGCTCATATTGTGCTGCCAAAGCTGGATCCATGACAACTTCTGGTGGGGCAAGAGCAGACATTGCAACAAACTCCAAGTTAGGATCTCCAATTAGTTTTCTAGTAAGCCAAAGGAAGGGCTTTTCAAAGTTGTAGTTACTTTTATACTAAAGATTCTTCTTTCAGTGGAAGATGATGGATTTTGCTTTAACTTTCCTGTCCTTAATATCCACTTTGTTACCACACAAGACAATGGGGATGTTTTCACATACTCGAACCAGATCCCTATGCCAGTTAGGCACATTCTTGTAAGTAACTCTTGAGGTTATATCAAACATTATAATGGCACACTGGACTTGGATATAATAGACATCTCTCAGTCCCCCAAATTTCTCCTGACCAGCCGTTTTCCACACATCGGTCCTCTGTTAGTATGGAACACAAGGGGATGGACCTCAACTCCCAAGGTGGCTACATACTTCTCAAATTCACCAGTCAGATGACGTTTCACAAATGTCGTTTTTCCAGTTCTGCCATCACCCACCAATATGAGATTGAACTGCGATTGGGGTTCTCCTTGGGCGGCCATCACAATAGTTCTTCTAGAAGTGTCTCCGGGCCATGACTGACTGCTGATAATTCTTAAGTTATTTCTCTTCATGTTGTCCAACATGAATCTTATACCTTCAGATTTTTTTTTTTTTTATCCTTTTACTGCTTGTTCTTCTATCTTAGTAGTATTGAGAGATTTATCTTCTAGCTCACTAGTTCTGGATTTCATCTCTTCAGTTCTACTCCTTTGCCCTTTCAGTATATTGTCTATTTCTGATATTCTATTATTAATCGTTTGGACTTCTTTCTGTAGGTTTTGAATTGTTTCCAATGCTGTATCTATCTTATTTGATTGTTCCTGTAGTGCTTTCCTGACTTATTCCTTATTTTTCTCAACTCCATTATAAAGTGTTTTGATACATTTTATAATGATTTTTCTGAATTCCTTCTCAGGCATTTCCAAAGCCTTCCCATCTTCCAGTATGGAGTGTAGGTCTAATTCCAGCTCATTTGTCTCAGCCACTTTATCTAATTTCTGGACATGTGCTGATATGGTCATCTGTTTCTGTTTTTTGAGCATATTCAGGAGTTAACTGTGGCCTTAATACTTAGATGGGTGTGTGTTTTGGTATTTTTTATGTTTTCTGATTGCCTCCAGGTAGATGTGATCAGGAGATGGGCTTCCCTTTTCACTCTTCTTCCTGAGAAATTTCAAGATGCCACTATTGGTGGCTATGACGTAACTCAGGATTTAATATTTGCCCTGCTTCCTTTTTAGTCTGCCTGTCCTGCTCCACAACTGCTGTTCAGGACTTTTTCCTAGTTATAAACAGTTCAGGGCTGGTTGAGACCGTTTTGCACTGCCGTTTGGTTTTAAGAGGTAAACTATGCCTTTAAATTTCGAGGAGATCGGTGCACAGGTATAGAACCTTCCAGGGGTGGGGGTGGGCTGTCCACTCACTCCAGCACCCCCTCTGGTCACCAGAATGGAGGTGCGCAGACAGTGACTGACCAATGAACAGATTAAAAAAAAAAATGTCTACACCTTTATCTCCGTGGTTCTGTCAGGCGTCTATGGCTGCTCTGATCCTTCCCCTGCTTGGTTTCACCCAAGATGGCGGCTCTGGGAGCAGCCAAGCACCTTGGATTATAAAGCACTGGATTTCTTGCTTCTGCTACAAATTCCACTGGCTGTAAGTCTTCCAACTTTCTAAATATTCCTTTATATGTGGTTCAGAGTTCTGGGACCATTCCCTGAGCCTGCTTGGTCCGGTATTCTGTGTTGTTGCTGACGTGGCTCCTCACTGCACTTCTACCCAATCCACCATCTTGTTTGTTCTCTCAGTGAGGATTTTTTTTTTTTTTCCTTTACATTGAGATGCAATTCATACCGAAAGCTATGGTCTCTGATCTTTATTAGTAAGTATTTTAAGTCCTCTTCATTTTCAGCAAGCAAGGTTGTATCATCTGCATATCTCAGGTTGTTAATGAGTCTTCCTCCAGTTCTAAACCTCTGGAATAGTCCTTCTTAAATAATGGCCCCAGACCTAGGCAGGCCCAATCAGTGAAGTTGGGTATGAGGACAGGGTGGGCTGACAGGAGGATGGGATAAAAGGGGAGCAGATCCCCTGACTCAGCTGGACTTATCTACCTCTCAGCCTGCCATTTCAGGTGCCTCTGGATCTTGCATGAGTGAGATGTGCTGGTGGGGCCCCGGGATGCAGTAGAAAGTCTGGGAAAAGTAGAAGCATCTGCTGAGTTGTACAAGGTCCAGGTTCTAGTCTGAGCCTGACCTTGATCTTGCTGGGGGGGCCTTGAACCAGCCACACAGCCTCACTGCATATGTGTAGGACTCTTGGGAGAGTGAATGGGATGGTGTGCCATGTTGCTATATCAGCACATCAGCACCCCTTCTCTCTAGGGGGATAGGCTATGGAGGTCCCTTTGCTTTAAGTGCAGGAGCAGGGATATGTGGCTGTGTCTACTGCTGGTGGTAGTGATGGAGGAGGAGGAGGAGGCTTCAGCTGCATCTTTCCTATGCATCCCAAAGACTGCCCTTGACTTTCAAGCCTTTTGCTTATGTGAGAGAGCCACAGAGAAGTGCAGGGAGAGGGTGGTGTGTGGGTGTCACTTCCAGCCCTGGTCTGATCTCCTCCATGACCCTCTCTCGGGCCAGCGTTTGTTGTGAAGGCAATGACAGCTTGATAAAGAGCTGGCCCACGTCTGGCCACTGAGGAATCTCAGGCCTTGAGTCAAGTTTAGCTTCAGCAGTAGGCCACACGGTTCTCCAATTTTCCCCACCACCCCAGGGTGCCTTCCTGCTAGAAACCAGACCTTCTTTCTTCTCAGCTCCAGGCTGGATTTGGCACATTCCCCAAGGTCACCTAATGCTGCTCATTGCTCCCTTGCAGCCCCTAGGGTTTGGTCCCCTTGACCTGAAGCATCTCAATAGGTTCTCACTGTGCCATTTGCTCAGACACATCTAAGATCTGAGGGTTGCTCCTTTCCAGAGAAGGGGTACAGCATGAGGTAGGTAGGCAGGTTGTACAAACCCTACCACAAAGGCTGTGGTTTCACCTAGCAATGTAGCATCCTCTTTCTTTGTTTTTCTGCTCCTTCTACAAGTTTTTCCTGGACTTCTCCCAATTTTTCTGTTGTACAATCTTATATTGGAGCTACCTTGAAGCCAGTTGGGGTCCTGGCTTCCACCCAGCCCTCTAGTGTAGAAGCTGTGATTTTTTGGTTTTCCATTAGTGAGAACACCGTCAATCCCTGTCTCTTGCAGGCCTGGAGTACAGCCATCCATTCAACCATCCAGCCCCTTGAAAGTGGGTGGGAAACCCTGGCAGGCCCCTGTTGAATTTCCTTCTTCAGTGCCCTCTCTCCACAGACCCTGGCTCCTACCATTCTCTGATAAGGGCCATCAGGGTGACCTAAGTGGATTTGAAATGGACTGACACATTTAACAGGCTTCCCCTCATTACAGCTCTGCAAATGAGGTCCCCCTCCAATTTACAAGAAGGATAGCATTTCTAAAATGGGATGAAAAACCCTATTATTAGTTTGACTCTTTCTTCATTCCATTTTATAATATCTAAACATTAAAAATACCCATAACTATCTATGCCTCATTAAATCTACTCTCTGAGAAGATGATATAAGGTTCAAATATGACTTTGTAAAAATACATTTTGAACACCAGTAGCATTAACTAAATTGTTCTAATTTTAAAACAAAACAGTGGGGGAAATTTCCTAGCTGTACTGAACCTTAGATGCCATCTGATCTATTGAAGGGTAAACTGAAGCCTAAGGAAGGCAAATGAGGAGCAAAGTTAGGATTCCAACTCAGGCTGTCTACCACCCCACATTCAGTGTTTCTTCATGTTCCCCTGCCTTCTTTTATGTGTTCCTTTCTTATTCATATATCTCCTGCATTGCAAACATTTGGCATTCCACTTAAAGTTAACATAATTCCAAGTCCTGTTTTTAACATTTCCCATAATGGGCTGTCTTGTTATTGGTAAGGTTTATGCTTTAGTTTGGGAATGACATCTGGTATGTGAGCTCTTTTTTTCTCTACCTGCATCCACAGCAGACATTATTAATCAATCACAATATTCTATCCCTCTGAGCCCTGAGGCAGTCTCAGACTCTCAGCACAGTGTCCCAGGAAGTTGATTGGAGCTAGATTATGAGATCAAATAAATTTACTGGAGAAGAACAATCCTGGGGAAGACCCTCTACTTACCATAGGCGTCTTTCCCTCTAGGCTGCCGAGGTCTTGTGTTTCCATTTTTATCGCCTTGTAAACCTACAACATCCCAAAGGTCAGAAGTAGAAACATTTCAGAAAGAACAGAAATGCAAGCACAGATGATTCTGTGTGGTGGTTGATGCTTCCTACCATTCCTTTTCATTTTCCTCACAACCTTCTTCTCCTAAACCCATCTACCAAGTAATTATTACCGTATTCTTTGGATTGATCAAAGGGCAACAGAATCCTATAAATTCAGAGTGGTTAAAGACACAATATAATCTATAGCTATTAGATGCCATGGGCAAAAGGAAAGGCATGTCTCCTGTGGGATGAAGATTTCAAATAAGATACAAAAATCTTAAGAACATTACTGCGTTTCTAAGGAGAGTCACAAATTCCATTTTTTGCTGGACAGCTTTAAAAGTAAGGCACGTTCTTATCATCTGGAAAGTAAGGGCAGGACTGCCCAAACTGGTGGTTTTATGCTTTTGTAGGCCCTGGTGGTGCTGTAGGATAAGCCCAGGGCTGAAAACTGCAAGCTTGGAAGTTCAAACCCACTAGATACTTTGCAAAAGAAAGGCGAGGCTTTCTGATCCTGTAAGGATTTACAGCCATGGAAATCCTATATAGGGTTGCTATGAGTTGGAATCACCTGGATGGCAATGGGTTTGGATAGGATGTAAATACAACGAAGAAGACTGGAAAGGTATACAGGGCACTCTGAGAAACAGGCCAATCCTTTGTCTTTTGTCGAGCAGCACCTACATTCTTAGAGCAGTGGAAGATCAAGATAGTAGCCAGCATTTATTGACTACTTATATGACTAGTTGGTACTTTACATTCTCTATCTTATTTAACCTCACAACAAGCCTGGGGGGGAGGCATAATTACTTTCTTCCTTTCATAGATAAAGAAATGGAGTCTGGAAAGGAGATTAAGCCACCAGTCCAAGATGAAACTCCAGAGCCTGTCCTCAGCCACATACTAGACCATCCTCCCGAGACCCTGACTGTTGAGTACTACAGGACCAGAGAGCTTGGAGAAGCTGGCTTGGTTCACTGACCAGACTCAGCAAGGACATGAGTGAGTGCAGGCTATTCTGCAGCCACCATTCCTTTGTCTGAATTTCCCCCCAGGTCTCTGTTCAGCCCCGAGATGACAGATGGAGGTAGAGGGACAGAAGGGAGTGGAGGTGACATCATGGTCCTGGCCACTGGTCTGTATATATTGCACTGAAGGCAGAAAAGCACTGTGGTACAGAACACAGGCTTCAGAATGGGATTCTTGTTCATGTCCTAGCTGGGTCACTTAGGAAGTTATTATACCTTTGTGAACATCTCTTTGCCAATCCAAAAAAAGAAAAAAAAATGCAGTAACATTAGCCTAGGTCAAAGGGTTAAAAAATTAATGAATATAAACTCTTTACTCTGTGCATACCACTTATTAGATAGTCAATAAATACTGTCTAAAAACCACACTCTTGTCATGAAATGTATTTTCAGTTAAATGCCATGTGCTACTCATGCCTAATTCAGAACAGTGGTGACTGCGTGTAGAGGAGGAAAGTTCTCCGGGATAAAACTGTCCTGCATCAGCCTCTTTATAGTATGCAAGGCCAAGATCCATTCACACCACTTCTGGCTCTAGGCTACCCAGATGCCCTCAATCCTTCCTGCCCTCTGTACAGCAGCAGCCCTGTATGTACATACGGTTAGCCAAGGAGAGCTTCTTGAGCAGCTGGGGCATAGCATCTCGAGGGTGGACCTCCACAGTCAACTGTGTCCCTGCAAAGGAATAGGAATGATACTCTCAACTGGATGCTGTCAGGAACAGCTGCAGTGTCCTGTGACAGAGGTTTGAACAATAAAACATAATTGGTAAAAGCCAAGCAGACGTATTTCAGACCTAGCCAAGGAATAAGTGCAGTCTACCTGGTTTCTCCCACTGAAGGCAACTATAAACTCTGGACAGGATGCATGTAGCAATTATATGAGAACTCTGCAAACTAAATGTTAGAAGGCAGATGGTGGAAGAAGACCTGAATTTGAAGTCTCATCAAAACAAGCAGCAAAGCTTTACCATTTTCCCCTTCCCTGCTGGCATCACCTAGAGTAGACTCAAAGGCATTCCCGAGCCCAGAAGTTCACAATGGGTACGGCACAATGTCCTTCAAAAGAAGCTCTCTCTTTTTGGCCCTAGGAGTGAGAAAGAAAACTCCTAAAGGTCAGAGAAAGTAAGGGTAATGTCATGCTTGTTTGTTTCCTTCTTCACTTTTGTTGTTGTTATTCTTGCTCTTGACTCAGCCTTTAGACAATTTTGTCACAGCTGGTGACGTGATAGGTATCTAATACTGAGGAAGGGTAACTCTTCTTTCTTCCTAGCGGAACTAAGGTCCCCAATATGCAGGAAAAATATTCATTGCTTCTTCTACCCCATTTTCTACTGATTGGTTCCGTGTGCAGACACAGTTGTGGGGAATGCAGGACAAAGTGGAGAAGCTAAATTCCCAATTTGGGGGCTAGAGGACAAGGAAGGGGACTATAATGAGAAGGGTGCACCAGAGAGCAACTCCAAAAGTTGTGAGTGAACTGCTGTACTCACCTCCAAGTTGTGCATGCGTGGGTCCCATCTTACCAAAGTCTTAGAAAACTAACCCATGGAGTTAAAAACTAAACTATGCCCAGGTCCTACACTGGCTGCTGGGTGGCACACTTTCAGCACAGATCTGTATAAGCACTGCAAAGGCTGCAGTTCAAAATTATTCAGCATAGGAAGACTCAGGAAAGCCTGAACTCGAAAAGGAAAAGAATCAATAGATGACAATCCCATGATGATACATGTTTTAGTATGTATTATCAGATGCAGACTTTAAAATAGCTCTGATAATTATGCTCCAAGAAGTGAGGCAAACAGTTTGGAAATAAATAGAAAGACACAAGTGTCAGCAAAGAAGTAGAAAATAAGAAGAAGCATGGGAATTTTAGAACTGGGGAAAAAAAAAAAACAAAACTGGCTTAAAATGTTCTCAGAATATGGCCAATAGAAAAATGGAGCTGATATAGGAGGCAGTTAACTTGAAGCTAGAACAATAAAATTATTCAATATGAATGACAGAAAAAAAATGGGAGAGAAAAAACAAAAAGAACAGAACCACAAAGGTTTGTGTGGGAGAGTACCTAAAAGTCTATCACACATATCACTGGGGTCCCAGAAGGAGAGGAAAAAGAATGCAGTGCAGGAAAAAAAAAACCCAAATAAACCCCAAAACAACTTGATGAAATAATAGCTGAAAGCTTTCAACATCTGGCAAAAGACATACATTTACAGATTCAAGAAGCTCAGTGAAACCAAACAGGGTAAGCACAAAGAGATCTAATCCCAGATACATCATAATAAAATTCTTGAAGACAAAGAAAAACAATTTTGAAAGTAGACAGTGAGGAGAAATATTGCTGATTTCTTATCAGAAATCATGGAGAGCAGAAGGAAGTGGGACAATATTTTCAAAGTGCATTTCACAAAAATGAAATGTCAACACAGAATTCTATATCCATTGAAAATATAATTCAAATATGAAGGTAAATAAAGAACATTCTTAGATGATGTTAAACTAAGAGAATTTGTTATCAGCAGAAATGCTCTAAAGGAAATGCTAAATAAACTTCTTCAGATGGAAGATAAATAATATCAAAGGGAAACTTGGAAGAGCAACAGAAATATTAAACATCTAGGTAAAGTTAATAGTCTATTTTCCTAATGTAATCAGTGTTACTGAGTTGTACATGTAGAAATTGATGAATTGGTATATGTTGTGCTGTGTATATTCACAACAAAAATACAAAAAATATAATAAATTATAGAAAAGGGTAGTTGTCTATTTTATCCTCTTGTGTTACTTAAAATATGGATCATGACTTAAAGTAATAATTATAGCATTTTCTGATGGGGTTCTTAGTGTATGTGAAATTTGTAAAACATATGGCAGCTTAAAACATATACAACAGAAAATGGGGAGAGTAAAAGTACCTATGTGGAAATAACGTTTCTCATTCTAACTTAAAATGTTAATATCAACTATAATTAGACTATAAAAACTTAGCTATGCATATTAAAATAAATGATGAAAAGATCTATGTTGTTGTCGTTGTTAGGTGCTGTTGAGTTGGTTCTGCCTCATACTGGCCCTATGCCAACCTCACCACTGCTGTGACACTTCAGCACATTGTCACTTCCACTGGGACAATTCAGCTCGTTGGGAGGTCTTCTTTTTCACTGGCCCTCCACTTTACCAAGCAAAAAAGATCTATACAAAAGACAAACTTAAATATAATTCTAAAAGATAACAAAAATAATAAAGATGGCAGGAAAGGGAAATGGGAACCAGAGAAACAAAATCAATGGAATAAACATAAAATAAATACTTAACTCCCAACATATCAATAATAGCATAAAATTTAAATAATCTCAACACAAAAACTAAAAATGGAAATTGTCAGAAAGAATAAATAAATAAGATCCAACTATGTGCTGTCTATGAAAATCCAATGTTAACTAATGATATAGATCAGTTAAGTGTAAAAAAATACAAATATAAGAAGAAAGTTGGTGTTGCTACAGTAATATCAGACATAGTGTATATCAGAGCAAGGAAAATATCCAAGCTAGAGGAATATTACATATTGGTAAAAGAGTCAATTCTCAAGAAGATACAACATTCTGGAATATGCATATGCTTAACAACAAAGCTTTAAAATACATGCAGCAAAATTGTATAGAAATGGAGGAAGGGAAAAATTCAGAGTTACTATTGGAGACTTCAGAACTCTCAGGAACTAACAGAATTAGTAGATCTGCAACGTTACTGAAGAATTTAAGAACACCATCAACTAACAGGATCTGGATGACATTTATAGAATACCTTGTCCAATAATATCAGATGATACTTTTGCTTCAATTGCCCATAGATTATTTACCAAAATATCATGGGTCATAAGCAAACCTTAACATTTTTTAAAATAAATAAAAACATGGTGAATGTCAAAAACATTAGGCTACATGAAAGAAGCCAGCTTCAAAAAGTTATGATAGTTATGATTCCATTTATGTGACTTTTTTTTTTTTTTAAAGGCAAAACAATAGCAATGGGGGAACAAATGAATACTTGCCAGGAATGATGGAAGGATGTGACTACAAAAGGCTGGAGGAGAGAATTTGGGGGCCAAATAGAACTGCTCTGTATCCTGTTTATGGTGGTGCTTGTATGAACTGCACATAAAAAATTCCTTTTTTACTGTATGTTGTTAAGTGCCATCGAGTCGATTCTGACCCATAGCGACCCTTTATTGGGTTTCTAAGAAGCAGCTTGAACTGCTGACCTTGCAGCTCAAACAGCTTTGCAGTCTGATACATTAACCCACAGCGCCACACCAGGGCTCCATTTTACGGTATGGTGATTTAAAAATAAAATAAAAATACTAACAAAAATACCAGACAAATAAACAAAAATATCAAATGATTAGAGCAAAACAAAACCTAGGTTCATTCAGAAAGACAAAATGGGAAGTGAACATTCTTCTAGAATATATTTTTACATTTTAAAATCCAAAGTAAGATGACAGTAAACATGCCTTTGTCATCTGCTTTCTTCACTTAAGACGTTACATGTCAGTGACTATAACAATATACCATCATTTTCAACAACTGTGTAGTCATTGTATTGTATAGATGGTTCATAATGCATACAAGCAATCCCTTTTTGTTGATTATTTAGTTTATCCCAAGTGTTTTCCTATTATAAACAATAATATAATGAACATTTGGATACTCTCGTACGTCTTTAAATACTTTTCAAATCAGTTTTTTTTTTCCCCCATAAATTCTGAAGTATGAAGGAAAGGGTATGGATATCTTTGAGGTTTTAGAGAGTCAAGAAATAGACTCACGCAAATATGGCAAATAAATTTTTACAAAGGTGCTAAGGCAATCTAGAATGTGGCTGTGGCGTATAAATTCTATCCATCACAATTTCTAATCTCTGCCTAAACTTCCCCAATTCCTTTTTCTTCTCCTGTTTCAGATATGGTTTCCATATCGGAAAACTTATTCAATAAATGATTTGATCAGTTTATGGTCTTCCCAAAAATTCAAGAAAATGCCCATTTTGTTCATTCTTACTGTGGTTTGGATGCAGATATGGTCATGATACACTGCACTTCCTCTCAAGGAAAGATAACATTTTGTGTTTCACCCTTTGAATTTGGGTTGGCCTTATGTCTTAGTTTGGCCAATCAGCTCTGAGCCCGGGCCTCACGATGCTTTGTAACTTTTCTTCTTGTTCCTGTTCTTGGGATTCCAGTGTCACTGCTGTGTGAATGAAGACAGCTCAGCCTGCTACAGGATGAGAGACCACATGGAGTAGGTTGTCTCAGGTAAGGTCCCCCTAGACCACCTAGTCTCCAGTCATCTCCCTAGCTGACCCTAAACTTAGGAGCAAGTCTAGCCAAGGTCTGTGACAAGTTGGGTATTGCGCAGACAAGAACGTTTAGCCAACCTACAGATGTGTAAGTTGGTAAATGTTTATTGTCCTAAGCCACTGAGTTTGGGGTGGGGGTGGGGGGTTGTTTTTTAAAAGGAGCCCTGCTGGCACAGTGCTTAAGTACTCTGTTGCTAACCAAAAGTTTGGTTATTTGAACCCAGTCCCCACTCTGTGGGAGAAAGATGTAGCAGTCTGCTTCTGTCATAGATTGAATTGTGTCTCCCTCAAAGTATGTGTCAGCTTGGCTGT